AGTTAACATGTTAACTTAGGAGAGATCAGTAAACAGGTTAACTAGGGAGAGGTTAGTTAACATTATTAGTTATTGCTATCCTACTTTACTCACCTTGATGTTCAGGGTTTTTCTGTAGTAAATTGTGGGTCTAGTGTGATACTTCTGTTTTATCTATGGCATCACTGTTTCCTTTTAAATGAAAGATACATGAACAAAGTAGCATGTTTGGCATCAGATGTAGTACAGTACAATTCATAAATTGGATTGGTGTATACATCCCTTTATCATCAATAATTGAATTAATTCTGTCCATAGATACCTTTCCTGACAGGTAAATGGGATTAATTAGCCACACCTTTGCTTATGACTAATTAAGTGAATAATGAGTTTCACCTTGTAGATTTGGGCTGGTCCACTGGATGTGTGACGATATCCTACCTGGTACATAATGCATGCAAAGGCTGAGTTGGTGCTGAGTACATTCATACATCACATTCTACTTTAATGTCTTTCAAACACCAACAGTTCAAAACATTTACATTTATTTATCCTTATTATGTACAGACTGTCCCTATATGCATAAGGTAGTTCACTCTCACGAAGCACAGTCCCTTTGTGTGTTAGGTAGTGCACTCTTATATACAAGGTGCTGTCCCTCTGTGTGTTAGGTAGTGCACTCTTATATACAAGGTGCTGTCCCTCTATGTGATAGGTAGTGCACTCTTAAGAGGTGTTGTCCCTCTGTGTGTTAGATAGTGCACTCTGAAGAGGTGTTGTCCCTGTTTGTTAGATAGTGCACTCTTAAGAGGTGTTGTCCCTCTGTGTGTTAGATAGTGCACTCTAAAGAGGTGCTGTCCCTCTGTGTGTTAGATAGTGCACTCTTAAGAGGTGTTGTCCCTCTGTGTGTTTATAGATAGTGCACTCTTAAGAGGTGTTGTCACTCTATGTGTTAGGTAGTGCACTCTTAAGAGGTGTTGTCCCTCTGTGTGTTAGATAGTGCACTCTGAAGAGGTGTGGTCCCTCTGTGTGTTAGATAGTGCACTCTTAAGAGGTGCTGTCCCTCTATGTGTTAGATAGTGCACTCTGAAGAGGTGTGGTCCCTCTGTGTGTTAGATAGTGCACTCTTAAGAGGTGCTGTCCCTCTATGTGTTAGATAGTGCACTCTGAAGAGGTGTTGTCCCTCTGGGTGTTAGGTAGGGCACTCTTAAGAGGTGTTGTCCCTCTGTGGGTTTATAGATAGTGCACTCTTAAGAGGTGTTGTCCCTTTGTGTGTTATGTAGTGCACTCTTAAGAGGTGTTGCCCCTCTGTGTGTTAGGTAGTGCACTCTTAAGAGTTGTTGTCCCTCTGTGTGTTAGGTAGCTCACTCATAGGGCTGTTCCTCTGTGTTTTAAGTAGTTCATGCTTGCGAGGTGCTGCCCTAGCTCTTACTATTAGATAGTTTACTCTTATGAAGTGCTGCCTCTGTGTATTAAACAGTGCACTGCTACGAGGTGCTGCCTAAGTCTGGAGGAGGAAGTGTGCCCAGCTCTACCATCAACACTGTGAGGCTATCAACGTAATCACCTGTTGTCATTTTTATCACCCCGGACGGGATTGGAGAGTCTTAGAATTTTAATTCATTCTTTTTGTCTTGTTGCAAAATTACCATCCACTGCATTCAACAGTTTCTCAATTTGAATCCAGTTATAACCAGTGTTTTATCTTTAATTCTGTTTCAATAGAATTTCTTTGGTTGTGTGTACTTTTATGGGTATAGCCATAGGCGATGCTGAACTCCCCAATCCTGAATGTTTTGTAGAGCTGTGATGGTTCCAGTTATGGCTTTTTTGCAGGGTTCTCGTAAACAAATCCCCCACATCAGGACGCTCTCAGTCTAGTGATATGGTGGTACGGTCACCAGAGTATTTTATTGGATCAATATGGAGTCAAGTTTTATTTGGATCATTCTAGGTTTATATTTTCCAGGTTGTCCCCATCAAATTTTCAATTACACGTTTGGAGGTGGGTAGGTTTGCCCTGGAAATACTGTATTGTGGGAGGCTACGGCCTCTGGAGGTGAGCCCTCCTCACTTTCACTTACTACATCAATTTTTCGAATGCGATTAAATGTTTTTTCTCTGTATGTGATAGGCATGGTTTACTAAAATCACATTCATTAAGTTGAGAGCTGTATTTGAGATGCCATTTGAGACACTTTAACAAGGTTTGTTGTTGGGCTACCAGACAACCTTTGGAAAGCTTCCAAGAAAGAAAATGGTAAAAATATTTTTGTTTTATATATGTTTGTTATTTCCCTATTTCCCGTCCCATAAATCTTTACATAAATAACCATTGTTACTAAGTAAATGCTGGCATTAGATAAAGCAGTCACTAAAATACACAACTATGGTCTTAGTTTCAATTAGAACTTGAACACATACATCTCTGAAAGTTTGGAAGTCCATGTGTACAGAAAATGAAATATTTATGTCAACCGAATGTAATCGGATGAAGCCATGAACATTCAGCATTACAAACAAATGTCCCCCCATCCCCCCATGATTTTATTGTGGATACTGTGAAGATACAAGATGTGCAGATCCTTGTTCCTTGTGAGGTAGGTCTTCATGAGATCTATAGTTCTTTGTACCTTGGTAGGTTTCATTTGTACCTTGTGAGAAGTTGGTACCTTGTGAGGGGTTTGTACCTAATGTAAGGTTTGTACCTTGTGAGGGGTTTGTACCTTGTGAGAAGTTGGTACCTTGTGAGGGGTTTGTACCTAATGTAAGGTTTGTACCTTGTGAGGGGTTTGTACCTTATGAGGGGTTTGTACCATAAGTGAGGTGTGTACCTTGTGAGGNGGTTTGTACCTAATGTAAGGTTTGTACCTTGTGAGGGGTTTGTACCTAATGTAAGGTTTGTACCTTGTGAGGGGTTTGTACCTTATGAGGGGTTTGTACCTTATATGAGGTTTGTTCCTTGTAATGTTTGTACCTTTTGTGAGGTTTGTACCCTGTTTGTGACACCACACCTTTGACCCTTTCAACCCAAGACTCCCCAGAGATATGGTTGAGTTGGGTTTTTTCCAGAAAGACTTGACAACTTCAGAACAGCTTAGTGTTATAGTCAACCTAATTTTGCTATGATGCCTGTGGTCTTACCTTAGACTCTTCAAACTGATAATGACATTCCTTTTTTAAGATTCAATATTGAACTGATGTTGGATTACCTTGCACTAATATTACTTTGCTAGAGTTACATTTGTTTTGAATTACTGTGAGAATGATATCTTGAAAATATCAATGAATGCAAAATATTCATAAAAGAAAAGAAGGGGAAAAACTATGAGGTTTCAGAAGATATGAAAAGCAATAATTATTTTAGAATACATATTATTTTACAATGTGGGAGGAAGCTAATATTTCATGCAAATTATTGATATTTTGGCAAAACTAACACATTCTGGGTATTTCTTGGCAAGTGATATGATAAATTTTATTTTAATGATGGTAGGATATGATTTCTCTGCATAATCAATAGTCTTTGCCACAAAATAGTTTCTGATTTTAGAATTTAGAATTTTTGCTTTGAATTCCTGAAGGATATTATGATCATGTGTTTCTTAAGCGCTTTCACTTGTCTGACGACTCCACTGTAGCATCTTTGTCAAATATGCAAAGCAATTCCTTCATGGCTGCCATCAATTCTCAAGATTCTTGAACACCATAAAACTGCATTTAATATTTGTGTACAACAAGGGTATACCAAGAGAAGTGTTTAGATCTGGATTGGAAATCACATACGAGGATTGTATTACTTCTAATCGTTACACTTTCATTTTAAAAAGATGACCAGTATGTCAACCAAAGCTTCACTGTAGCTATAATCTGTTGTTGACGAGTTGTGACACATTAGATTTTGATTGATAACTCTATTTTTACTGCTGGACTCATGCATTAAGTTAGAAATCTGTCTGCTGGATAACCAAGAATACTTTTTACAAATGTTGGATTTCCCAGTCCCCATATTCCAGTTTACAATCTAGAATCAGACAAATAACTTAGTTTCGTAAATTGATTTCTATTATGTTATGTTTATGACTGCAGTGTCATTGAGATGAAGAAATGACAAAGAGGTTGTGTGTTACCATACAAAGAGGAGTAGCTAGAGTATAAATTGTGTAAAGGACATTAAACCATGGAAGGGGACATATCAGGTGGCCGTCTTACACATGCATAACAAAGCCATGCTCCAGTGTTACCCATTATACAAGTAATAGATGAAAAGCTGTACTTTCATGCCATCTTAGATATTATGTAGACAGTAACAAATAACTTGTACTTTCATGCTATCTTAGATATTATGTAGACAGTAAAATTTACTAGTATGATACCTTTCCATTATTATACCTGGGATTTGTGTTGAAGTTACCTCCCTTTAACAATTAACATTTAATTAGCATCCCGTATACTTTAATTTAATTGCCTATAGATCTGTAGAAGTTTGCATGAGTTTTTTTTCTCAATTTTGTCCATTGCAAACTTATGTTAAAAACTGAAGTCATCTTCAGCACTGTAAATAAACCTCTTGTAATGCACATATCTTTGTCTTTTAGTTGGTTGCGGATGAAAGCATTTATTAAATTTGAGTAGATTTTAACCAAACTTGACGGATGTGTTTACAAAGCTTAACTCCTGTGAGACTGCTAGATAAAGGATTGTTCTGGTATAACACTGGAGATATGTAAGCATTTCTTTATTTGTGGTTGTGTCTTTAAGCCACCTTAATTCCAAAAGCCTGTTAGAAAACTGCATAGAAGTGATCCGTCTGCTCAGATCTTCCACCCAGAGGGACATCAGAATTTGTGATATATTACATCTTGAAGTAGACCAACTAATTTTAATTGACATCTAGAAATGCACGCAAAGAAAATATTGTATGGAAAATTTGTGTTGTAACATGTGATATGACATTTGGGTATTAAGAGATTTCCAAGCTAGCCTATACTTATATAGTGTAATGTTTTGTATACTTTCAGACTGTGATGTGATCATAGATCGATCTCTGAACTCCATCCCACAGCAGGGTAGATTTGTTTCCCCCGGCTGGCCGCAAAACTATCCAACCAACACCCACTGTACCTACAAGTTCATAGGCACACCCAATGAGCGAGTCAAGATCCAGTTCCTTTTCTTCGATATCCAAGGGGTTCTACCACTGTAAGTGTTTCTCCTCTCAGTATGAGACTTAACTTTATCAGGCTTGACGTATGAAAATAGTGCTTGGTATATATATACATATGTCTTTGTAATATCCTAAGTGATATGGTGAAGGTGTGCACATATGACTGGGCCAGTCAGTAGTCAATTTAGCATGCTATTACACTGCAATGAGTTGCCTTGGAAGCCCTTACTAGGTGAAGAGAGTAGACAAAGGCAAAAAGAACAGGTAAAGGTCCGATCTGTTATGGTGGGGCAGCAGATTGATTTTGGTTGCTTTAGTTCCCCATAAGAGGGCACAGAGGCAACCCTCATTCTATAAGGGGTCCCCATTAGTGACCTCTAAGTAACTGTTATCATACAGAAGCCTACAGAAGACCTGTTCCTTTGTAATGTCCCCAAACATTTTTATACACGTCTGTAGCAACCTTTTTGTTCAGAATATCGCAGCAGATGAATTTATTTAATTTGCCTACTGACATTCCATTTGATGAAGACTAGAATAACTTTGCTGGAATTTCTTTTAAAAATCTTTCTAGAGTAATAAAACAAGTTTTTCTTTATGTGATGGTAATAACATGAATTATTGTTAGAACCAACCTTACCATAATTGGGCAAATTAAGATCAAGGTCACAAATTCAAGGCTTTGTGAAATATTGGTCTTGAAAACCTTGGGGAAATTACAAGAGTGAGTTATTATGATTACCTAATTTGTTTTTATCTTCAGACTCATGTGATCAACAACTTTTTAATGAAGTTAGGGACAGTTCCTCATTTCTGATTGGCTAATGTTGTCCAGACAATATTTTAATTATGCACTGATTATGGCCACACTTTGAAAACTATCAGTTTAACTCCAATACTTCCCTTGTACCTGTTGAAACTCCTAATAAAAAGACCAATCTTGTACAACGCTTTCCTAACAACTCCTATTGTCTTCTGTGCGTTAATTATTATTCATGCACTGATTTATGGTGAGATCTGCATCTGGTGTATGGTTTTAAAAGCCTGACACTATATTCAAAAGATTCAAGTGATTTTCCATTTTCGTAATTGCCGATACAAATTTGGTCAAATTTTGACAATGATAAACCATAGGCTAAAATGGATTTGCAAACACCATGACGACTATGAGTGACACATAGAGATGGTGATGGATGATGGGTGCATGCTTAGAGCGAAACGGTTGTGTGTCGTCTGGTCTGATTACGTATTTGATTAGAGGTAATGCCTGGGGAGTGATATACTGCCACTCTGTAGCCACTGAGCTATGCTAAATCAGCTAGGCCTTTCTGACAACTGTCTGGTATAAACTGGTGATGTAATAATGCTGTCACATGGTCACTGTGACACCGTCACACCCAGTGTTGATTTTAATACATAAATTGAAGCAGGTATTGTTGCAGGTATTGTTTTGAAATAATTCAAACGTCAGGATTATTTTTACAACTTAATGTAATATAAAAGCAATGAAATATTGTGGAATTATATTACACTGAACAGACTGATTTGTATATTTTGTTCCAAAATGGTTAATTACAACTCCGTATATATATTTTATAATTTGTGTTGACAAATTATAGGGCGGTGTAACACATGAGTGAAATCTGTTCACAGACTCAGAATTTTTGCTCACTGGCCCGAGCTCGACCAGTCCGTGGGGGTCACCTCTATCATCTGCATATGGCTCCCATTTGTCAGTCTTATCGTGTGGTTTCGAGTTAGCGTCCCTTCAAAATTTCTTCAATCTCTTTTAAGATCCTGAGGTGACAGGATCACTTTTTATTTGTCTTCAAAAACCGACCTAACCCACCCAATAATATCCATTTTAAGTGCAGTTCTCACAGCGGTTTAATTCATGTTAAATCATGCTAAAGATCTGGTAAACTATACTGATATTATTTGCCACTAATTTGCTATAATGTGAATTTGACCAATTGTGTATATATAATATTTAACTACTGTTTGATAAAGTGAATACTGCTTGCTTAATTGTTCCGGAAGGGAATGTTGCTTGCGAGTGCCGGAAGTGCATGTTAATATGCTCATAGTGCCGGAAGTGATTGTTGCTTGAATTTCTGTGTAAGCGCCCTTTCACCCCAGTCAAATTTATGACAGTAAGGAATGGACTTGCAAATGGACTTAATTAAAGTTTCATCCGGAGTGAAAGGGCTTTTTGTAGACATATATTTTGTTGTATTATCATTAAAACGGCCAAAATCCTATAGCTGCTGTGTTTGTCATATATATATATATATGGGGAAGTAATTATCGAGGGAAAATTTGAGCTGCAACCTTGTAGCCATTTTTTTTTTATATCAGGTACAAAACATATACCTCAGTGGTGTGTTGTATTGAATAGAAAAAAGTTTTCTCAACAGGGCTCAAAGTTATGAGTAAAACACTCACATATGCAAGTAAAAATACCAAAGGCAAGTTCAAAATGACCGTATATCACCAGCCGATAAGTACAAAACAATCCAGAATTTTTGTCTGGAAATTGTTTTTTGTAATTAGTATAGTTTGCATTACATCAGTGTAGCATGAGTGCTTGTTACTATAGGTATCAGTAGATGGTTGTAAAGCATTTTAGTGACTCCCAACTTGTGTCAAAAAAAACCAATATGGCAATAAAGAGGCCTGTTCATACATCCCAGTGAGCACAGTGTCCAGAAACACATTTGATTGTGATAGCTGTAACAAAGAGATAAAAAAACAATTGTGATATGTACACACCATTTGTCACTTCTTTTTACGATGTTTAGACCATAACAAGGTCACAGACACTTGTAATAATGATGTGAAATGTGCAGAAATGATCCTGTGTATAATTGAGGTTATAAAAGAAAAGTTATCTAGAGAATGGAGAGGTAGAATGTATTGAAGTGTTATAAGGAGTCAGGACAGGGAGATGAATGAAGTACATAGGCCGGTCAAACCCAACTCCTATTACAATGACAATCGATTAAAAAGGCAAGAAATTTTGTTTTCTGTTGTAATTATATTAAATTATACAACACCTATGCATTGTGAATGACACAATTTGCCTAAATGCATTACACACAGTGCATTGTCAATGTTTCCAATAGGAATTGTGTGGAGAACAGTTCTCTAGCAACATTAAAAGGTCACTAGCCATTATGGCTTGTAACATTGAGCCCTAGCTATCCATCAGTAGGGTTATTTTGGGTACAAGAAGGTTATGTCAATGGTTGAGTCAAATTCTGTACCAATGGATAAGCACCATGGTGATGGTATTCTGCAGTGCCTTTGTTTATACATTGTTTAGTATCCCTAGGATAGTTCAAGGGACTTAGGTAGTATCTCTATGATAGTCCTGGGGACTGGCTGGCCTACTTTACAGTAGATATACACTAGAACTGCCCCATCGTGGACAGATACATTTACCAAATGTGATTACAGAATTTGTCAGCAGCTGATGTTTTACATCAGTACCACATAGTACATTAATGTGGCAAGCTACACCAGGACTTGGCTGGTGTCTGAGGACCCATAACATATCCTCAGTTGGTTCAGAAAGATAGTTCACCAGCTGTTTATAGGAAGATAATTCTAGATCTTAACATTATAAAATTATGTGCAAAGAGAGAATGGGAAATTTGGGTTCATACAAATATTGATATATGTAAAGTTGATTAAAATTTGTCTTTATTAAACAGCAAATGTGCTTTTGAGCAAACAGCAAACAGTTGTTATATAAGAGGAGGGTTATAAAATAAGAGCATGGTCTAGAATATTGGAGATGAAACTGACTGTCCCAATGTCCCACATTGACCACTCAGATGTCCTGTCAATCACTGGATGGTTCTATTGATACCAAACACTGGCTTGACTAGGGTTCTCCACTTATCAGTGTGTTGGATTGGAGTCCACAGGGCCTTACATGCCTTGATGAGAACAGATTGGTTTCCACACCATTGTAGACAAGCAACATCTGTCTTGCCTTCCTGGAGCCAACAGCTCAAGTCAACTGTTGTGGAGTCTAAGAGCTCTATCCATTCCCGCTGACATGGCCAGAAGGTAGAGTCCCCGTTTGGTATTGAGGCTACTAGCAACTCTCTGCTTCGTCTGGCATGTCTAGGGAGGCAGGAGACTGCTGGTCATATAGACTAGTAAAACTACTACACACAAATGGCTCGCATGTCTCTCTAGCTTTCATCATTACTGATAATTTGACAATATTCTCTCCAACTTTTTTGTCCTAATCTTATAAAATTATGTTGGTTGATATCTGATCATTTCTAATGCATGACATGTATACAATTTTACAAGTATTCTGACAAAACTGTTGAGAACCTTTTCCTCTTCATCTCTTGGTCTATTGGTGTTTCACAGCTAGAACACATGTATCTGAACCCTTTCCAATCATGTCAATGTATACTGGTCATTGTGTAATGGTTATATTCCCTCTCATGCCCAGAACATTATTCTGTTTATGATCTGAGGACAGTGTTTTCTTTAAACAGTATTATAATTTTCCAGTTTGAAATTGTTCTTCATGATGGCTTATAAGTATGTCTTATTTGTTACTCTGAAATTACTCTATACTATGATAATGTTTAAGAACTACAATAGTCCTTTAAGGCAAGCTTTCATATATGTTATTTATTCTGATTCCCATAATAATCCAGTTTTGCTGCAGTAGAGGAAGGTGATTAAGTTCGACCATTTTGCCAGACCTGAGTCCCGCTTACTTCTGGTGGCTACAGCAGAAATCTGTGTTCAGTGTGATAAGATAATAAACATCACACTGGCATTTGGTGTATTCCTGATAAAAATAATTTCAAATATCTGTAAATTTTATCAGTTTAAAGTGAGCAATGACAAGTTCAAATGGAGGAGAGATAGCTATGCCTTGCACAAGCCCTTTTGGTATGTTCATGGTTTTAAAGAGTCATTTAAGGACGTTGGTAAAGACAAGTGATAACCATACTTTGCACAAGCTGCTGGTTAGGGATGAGTGTTTTGTACTAGCCAG